TCCTGATTGAGTTCCCTAAACTTGGCTATGGCCGGCATTCCCAAGTAGAGTATGTGTTTTATGAAATTCGCTTGGTCCTCCATGTCGCCGTTGAGGGATCGCAGTATGGGCTCGTAGAATATGGCATCGTGCCGGAGCACCTGTATCATCTTCAGGTACGTGCTATTGATGGCCTTGACGGCCTTTAGGCGCACATTCGAGTTCTCGATTTTTTTGATGAAATCGCGGGACTTGACCTCCTCGTCTATCACATATTCGTTCTGGTATTTGATGCGATTCTCTAGCACGGCGCGATTCAGCTGCAAAAAGCAATATGAATGTGATGTCACTGAATCGATAGTCCTTTATACTAGTATTTGCTTGTATTCCTTCTTCAGCTGGCCCAGTCGGCACTCCAGGCGATCGCGCTCCTTGCGCATGACGAATGTGCGTTGGTTAATGTTGTCCACCACCTGATCTATGGGCATTCTCTGGTATAGGCGCTGCATGTCCTTGTGGCGGTCCAGCAAATTGCGAATCTTGTGGGTGCAGTCCCCGACCCGGATATTCTGCAGCTTGACCCGACCATCGCGGCACTGTATCTTGAGGCGTTTACTCTCCAAAAAGTAGCGCTGGCGATTTGCTTTCGTCTCGTGCCGCTTAAATACGGCACGACGCGCTAAAGGACAAGGTATACCGTATACGTAATATCCATATATATAAATATAGAATCCGCCCTGTTTCACTTGCCTAGCAAATCGGCCATGCCACTATATTCCTCGGTCAACGAGCCTGGCGTCCAACGATCGTCCACCATCACGTGCTGACGCACATAGGACATGCCGAAGAGTCCATGGAACCGCAAGGCCTGCGGATGCACGGGCTTCGGCGCCAGAGGATCCCGATCATTCGACTTGGTGCGACGGGTGGTGTGCGTCAAGCTCTTCTCGCGCTTAAAACAAGGCATAGTAAGTGTGTGTTAGTATAAATTAAAAAAAGAAAAGGTTTAGTTTCTGTTGTTAAAAAAAATATATATATATATTAAGTGTATTTAACAATTGAACAATAACTAACATAATCTGAATAAATGTAATGAGGGCAATTCCATTGGCAACCTCAATTGATCAAACAAAAATATTATAAATCTAGTATTCATTTAAGTGGGGCTATGCTACTTACGCTTGTTCCATATGCCACGGCTCCAAGGCGGCTCAGTCTTAGAGGATGTTTTGAAAATTGAATATTTAATTAAGTTGATAATATCTGTCTACTATCAATAATTTATCTACTATACAGTCTCGGGTTGTAAAAAGATATGCGCCAAGAGTGTAATGTGAAAACCTTTTTATATTCAAAATTTTAAGTGTTCGCTATTGAAGCGGCGAAGTAGTTTGCACTCATGTGGACTATTCACAGAGATTGCACAAAACCAACATACTTATTCGCAAAGTGCATGAGTATAATAGCCAAATATGTAAATAATAATGTTACTGTCATATTTCATATATAATACTCGTAAACAAGCGAGAGTGCCTGAATATTTCGAGCGCCGTCCAATTCTACGATTATCAATATAAGTATTTCCTTTACATATTTCCTTTATGTATTTCCTTTACATATTTGCTTTACGTAGTTCCTTACGTATTTCCCTTACCTATTAGACATCTGCATGGATACATCCAAGAGGGAAATTGAATCATTCATTCTGAAACTAAGTACACATTTTTTCCTGTACGTATTTCCTCTACATGATTGCATTACGTAATTGCTCTACGCATTTCCTTTACGTATTTAGTCTACATATTATTTCCATTACACTTTTTCTTTACATAATTCCATTATGTATTTCCTGAACTTATTTTCTTTACGTACTTCCTTTACCTATTCCTCTACGTATTTCCTCTACATACATAATTCCTTTACGAATATTCTTTACGTATTTCCTCTACGTATTTTTTCCACAAGGACACTATACTTCACTTTACAGCACTTCACAACTGACCCCCAACATTCCTGGGCGACTGAAGAAATGCTGCAGCTGCTGCCCTTTATATAAGGCGACTTTAACTCAAACCTTAAGTCTCTCAAATGTTGAGACCGACGTTAGGTAGAGATCGTTGTAGTCGACCTTCAAGTGACCAATAAGAACACTCTCTGCTTGTGCAAGCATTCTAGAGTCGTTTCACTTAAATATAAATACCAAATGAACACTTCTGAATACGTATAGGCAATTTAAATGATCTTCTTAGAGTCAGACACTGACACAGATATACAGGCAGACATATAGATATACGAACAGATATATATATAGGCAAACAAACACGCATAGTTAAATCGGCTCACTCCAATATGCTAGCAGGGAAAGCAGTGGTTCTATAAAGGACTAGGAATTCTGCATAATCTGCCTCTATTTCTGGCTATTCCAACCGATACTCATTTTCAACGGATTTATTAAAAAAGCGAATAATTATTATTATTATAAATACTCAAAGCATACTTGATCACTACTTTCTGATGATATCACTTATTACTATGTAGTATGTGTGATGGTTACATTTGAATTATCAGAAGACTTGAAACTTTGATTTATGCTGTTTTTTGGTTTATTGATCAATAAAAGGTATATGTAGTCTATGTATTGCTTATTTTGATCGCTTGATCAATAACTTTGGCACTCAGCACCTTGATCTGTTTGCGACTGGGTATATCGTACAGGGTCTTCTCATTTAGTAATATATCGTTAGGAATAGCCGATTGCTCCTGATCTTCCGACGAGTACTTAGCTTTATCACAGGTGTCCATATAATCTGAATGATACTTCTCCACACTGAGAGGTATGAACGGTTCCATCTCCGATTTGTAGGCTTTTGTGAGCTTAAACATTTTGCGCTTGAGCACACTCATAATTTCTTCAACTGTTTGAGATGGGAAAAGAATTTAAAATGAGATGAAACTAGTGAATTGATCGACTTAACTGTCTACGGGGAAGAGATCAGGTGGTTGAGAATACATATTAAGCAATTCGAATTTAAGGAGAGGCAAATTCAGATACGAATTCGGATACTTCTGTCTTATTATTCTGGGATTACGATCTACATGGATTAGCACTTCATAGAGATGCCAAAGGGTCCACCTGAATATATGTTTAGATAAAAAAGCATATAATATTTATTTATGTCTAGAGAGCAATACCGAAACATAATGAACACATCGCCACGATCTTTCATATATCTCAACGTGTCTTGCTCAATTTTTTCTTCCGCTGCCATCTCCGTTTTCAACTGCTTAATCTTTTCGAGCCGCCTGTTAAACATTTCAGTTATAAGTTAATTATTAATGCGTGAATTCCATAGGGAACATACTCGATTTCCTCGCTGCCTAGATTATTGGCTAATAGAGATTTTAGCACCAAGGCGTATGTCTTTCTGTCCTCAAGGTTATATCGACCTATTCCTTCTAACTCGGCGACTTCTAACAGCTTGTGATTTCGTTCAATGCCGCTCCTCATGCTGCAAAACCAAAAATTTACTTACCGAACTCTTAAAGCTCTCTCAAAAGCTAAACGATCTTACCGAGGATATATTTCACTGGCTTGGGCGCACAGTGTACCAAACTTGAGATCCCTGATAACCTTCTCGATTACCTTGATTACGTTCTTGAGCAATAACATGCCGTGCGTCTCCCGCACATAATGATGCTGGATTACCACTTCATCGAGCTTCCTGACAGTCCTTTTGCGTTTAAATTGCTCCAATGTGTCGCGAGAGCTGTCATTCAGCAATCCCAACTTACTCTGATGATCGTGTATGTTCCTGCGAGACTTATCCTCCAGTTGCTGATACTCCAGATTGAGTTCCTTATACCTGGCTATAGCAGGCGTGCCTAGATAGATTATGTGGCTAATAAATGTCGCCTGATCCTCCATGTCGTCGCTGAGGGAACGCAGTATGGGATCATAGTATATGGCATCGTTGGACAGCACTTGCACCATTTTCATATATGCTATGTTAATGGCCTTGATGGCCTTCAGGCGCACCTGCGAGTTCTCCACTCTTTTCATAAATTCACGTGACTTGACATCCTCCGCCAGCTCGAACTCATTCTGATATTTTATATGATTTTCCAGTACTGCACGATGCTTCTGCAAATTAGATAATATAATGCATATATGCATGCGTATTTTTATTATATTATGTATATTTTATAATATATGCCAGCCCCCGAACGACTCACCAGCTTTTTCCTATAATCGACCTTCAGCTGACTTAGTCGGTACTCGAGCCGATCGCGTTCCTTGCGCAGGACAAACGTGCGCTGATTGATGTTGTCTGCGACCAGGTGGATGGGCATCTTTTGGTATAGACGCTGCATGTCCTTGTAGGCGATCAGTAGGTTCCGAACGGCAACCGTATTGTCAGCTGAGATAATGTTCCGCAGCTTGGCGCCACCATCGCGACATTGCGACTTGAGCCGCTTGCTCTCTTGGATGGCCCGCAGTCGATTGGCTTTTATCTCGTGTCGCTTGAAGATCGCAAAGCGGGCTAGAGCAGAAAAGATAGCTAAGCCCTTGGGACAAATATATACATATATGGATTGCTCACACACCCAGCAAATCGGCCATGCCAGAAAACTGGCTACATAACGAGTCGGGGGTCCATCGATCGTCCACGATGAAGTGCTGACGCACGAGCTTCTCACCGAATAGCCCGTGGAATCTGAGGGCACGCGGATGGACGGGCTTTGGGGCCATCTCATCTCGGAACGATTGCTTAGGCCGCCGTAAAGGATAGCGACTCCTTTCAGAAGAGGATTTCTTTTCCATTTTTTTATTTTTTTCTTTTCTAATGTAAATGTATTTTTTTTTTTATTTATTTATTTTTTTTTGTTTAATATTTTTTTTCAGGTGTACCTAACAATTGAATGAAATCTTAAAACATGGGAAACTCATATCAAATTCAACTAGAATTTAAGTTCATGGTCTACTACATTTTCGCCGAAAAATAAAAAATAAATCAAATCTCCTATTCAAAGGGGTAAGGAAAGCGTGTGAAGTTTATTAATGATTTAAAAGAGATCGGAACGTTATGATTCTTCCCGTCTGATAGCGCTTTCCACTATCCTAGCACTCTGCGCCTTTATCTGCTTGCGGTTCGGTACATTGATATTGACCTTGGTGTCTTCCAATAGATCGCCACCGATTGTCATGCGCGTATGTTGATCGTCTTCATTGTAGGCCTCCCGTCGTTCAAAGGTGGCCAAAAACTTTTCGTGATACTCCTGTTTACTCTTCTTTAACGATGGCAGCATTTTGTCTGAATAGCCCTTCATTAGTTTGTACACCTTACGCTTGAGTGTATTCATAAGAATTTCGACTGTTTCCCAGCAGAAGATTAGGTATAAGAAAAACAAATACTTTCGTAAAACTTACCGTCGACTTCAAAAACCTCGGGTGGCACGGCAAAGGCGTCCAACATCTCAAACTTCAGCAGGGGCAATTTTAGATACGAATTGGGATAAGTGGTACGAAAGGTTTTTGGATTACGATCGACATGTCGAAGAATTTCATAAAGATTCCACACATTAAATCTGAAAAATTCCAAATATAAATCAGACTACTTGGATGCATACATATTCAACTCTTACCGAAACATAGTGTAAACATGTGATTGATCTATTAGATATTCCACACTCGACTTTTCGAATTCCTCGTCATTCTTTAACGTAGCTTTTAAAACATCTATGTAATTGAGGCGACTGAAAAGCAATTAATTAATTAAGATTTCCAATATGTAATACTATGGTAATAAAACTCTTACTTGATCTCCTCCTCGGACAAATTGTTAATCAAAACACCCTCCAGCACACTAGCACTATTCATCTTACTCCTGAGCGCATTGAGAGCCTGCCTATGGTGCTCGATCTTGCGGTGCAGCAGCACATTGCTCTCCACCTGACCCTTGAATCTGGGGACACAAAACCTAGAGTACCTCTTATATAGTATTTGGTATATACTTTACTGTGGATAGATCTCCTTGGCCTGCGAGCAGAGTGTGACCAGCTTCAGTTCCTTGATGGTCTTCTCGATGGACTGTAGCTGCAGCTTCAACCGTTCCATGCTGTACGTCTGACGCACATATCGTCTGGGATTTGCTGATGGAATCTCCTTGGTCTCCACTGCAGTGCGCTGATTCACGACCTTTGGCTGCTGCTGTTGCAACGACGCTAGCATCTGTATCTTATCTTGGAGATTGAGTCGTGCCTTCTCCTCCAAGATTTGGAACTCGCGATTGAGGTCCTTAAACTTGGCTATAGCCGGCATCCCCAAGTATAGTATGTGCCGTATCAGAAGCGCCTGATCGGTCATATCGTCATCGAGCGAGCGCAGTATGGGCTCATAAAATATCTCATCCTGCAGCAGGACCTGTATCATTTTCTTATATGTAGTATTTATGTTTCGAATGGCCTTCAGGCGGACATTTGAGTTTTCTATTTTCTTCATTAATATACGAGATGCTGTCTCCTCCTCCAACACATAGTAGTTCTCATACTTCATTAGATTCTCCAGATTGCAACGCTCACGCTATAAGTTTGTAGATATAGAGATAATTATACCACTTGATGTTTCTCTTTATCGGAATGCCACTCACCAATAGAGTTTTATATTCATGTTTCAGCTGGCCCAAGCGAAACTCGAGACGATCTCGCTCCTTGCGCATGACAAAGGTACGCTGATTGATATTGTCCACAATCAGATGTATGGGCATCTGCCGGTAGAGGCGTTGCATGTCAATGTGGTCATTCAGATAGTTGCGTATCGTATGCAGATTGTTGCCGGATGAGATGTTCTTCAGCTTGATGTGCCCATCAAAGCATTCGGCTTTCAAACGCTTGCTCAGCTTCAGGAGACGCAATCGATTGGCCTTCGTCTCATGACGCTTGTAGATGATGCGACGAGCTAGAGCAATGCTTTCAGTCATACTCTGGCTATAGATAGACAGGTTACTTACTTAGCAGCCCAGTCATGCCACTGAATTGATCGGTCAGAGATTGAGGAGTCCATTTCTCGTCCACAATCAAGTGCTGGCTGGCATAGCCCATGCCAAAGAGTCCATGGAAACGAATGGGACGAGCCCGCAACACCTTGGGAGTCAAGGCATCTCGTCCACTGTTCTTCTTTTTCAAGCAGAACTCAAGGCTCTTTTCCTGCTGAAAACAAGGCATGTCGATACGATATCGATATCACTTTTATGTATTCATATATCCTTATGTTTGTATATATGTTTTTTTTTT